TCCCATCTTCCCCTCTTCTTCGTCTAACCCCCCTCCTCTTCGTCTGTGTATGTGTGGGACTAGCGCCTTCTTCCTGTGTGAGCACCAGGTCCCTTCACAGCATGCGATGATGATGATGTATGTTTGGTCTGCATTGGGACTTTGATTGGTCGGATCATTGGTATGTTAGCCTTCCGCTGCGCTATCTTGTACTATGTGAGAGAGGTCGGTTCTTGCTCTGGTCTGTACCATTACGGTATGCGACAGTTTGGTATCGGAGCGGACCTCTGAATCAGAGGATCCGCCCAATCAAGTAGCCAGCTTGCTTGATCTACTGATTGATTGATTGATTGATTGATTGATTGATTGATTGATTATTAGCAAATCAAGTAGGACTTCGTCAAATCTCTGCAATTTTTTGTTTTTTGTTTTTTGTCTTTTTTCTCGCAACAAATACGTGAAAATTTCTGATAGTAGCATTTCGTTTCATCTGAAAATTTCTGATATTAGCATTTCGTCTTATCTGAAAATTTCTGATATTAGCATTTCGTTTTCACACAACAAAATTTCTGATAGTAGCATCCGAAAATTTCTGATATTAGCATTTATAGCCGAAAATTTCTGATGTTAGGATCTCGTTTTTCTGGGCCTACAGGTTAACAAGGGAGGTGGTCATATTCCCGGAAACTGGATTTATTCTTTTCTGAAAATCGACCCTCCATTCTATTTCGCTAAAATTTGGTTCCTGAAAGCCGAAATTTGCGAAACCTATCAGCATCTCGTTTGCTAGGCATAATAGGAGGTGGTCATATTCTCGGAAACTGGATTTATTCTTTTCTGAAAATCGAATCTCTATCCTATGTTCGCACAATTTTTTTTCAAAATCGCAAATCCCTTTTTTTTGAAAGCCAAAATTTTGTGAAGCCTTGCCTGGATCTTACTCTTAGCACTCCTCCGTAAAATGCCTCACTGATATCAAATCGACAGATTTTCAAAAAAAAAAAAAGAAAAGGGGGGGATCCTCTTCTTTTATTTTTAGTTTTCTGTTGATCAGGACCGGGAGGAAAGTACAGTTTGGTTGGTTACCTTCCTGCGCTCCCCTCCCACCCAACCCTTTGCCTGCATTCCCGGTTGGTAAGTGCCACGTCAGCGGCAGTGCCACGTCAGCAGCAGTGCCATGTCAGCAGCAGTGCCATGTCAGCGGCAGTGCCATGTCAGCAGCAGTGCCACCTCAGCGGCAGTGCCACGTCAGCAGCAGTCACATCAGCGGCAGTGCCACGTCAGCAGGGCCCCGCCACCATGACGGGTTCATCATTGGGCATTCACACGAGAAGTCAACGTGGCCGCCAGCCCATGTGGAGAAAGGAAGATTTGGTCCGCGTCCGCAGCCCGTCGCTGCAGTCCAACCGGACAACATTGTGGAAGACCCGACAGCCACCTCAGCATCACGTGAGGGAGATCAGGTGGCCGCCGTCCAGCCATGAAGCAACAACAACTCCCGGGGAAAAGGGAAGGCAAAAACCGCATCGCTGGGCGGAAATGGACAGCCAGTACCACAGCTCGGGAAACTGAGCTGCGCAGGAGGTGAGGCGACTCCACCTCTCACTCCGCCAGATTCGGTCGCCTTGCTCCTACACATCTGGGGAGGAGGCGCATGTCCCAAGTCCTTGGTAATCTTACGAGGATTACACTGTCCACTTGGTCCCACAGTTGGACCAACCACTCCACGTGCAACAACCCACCGCATGCACGGTTTCACCACCATCGGCAACCGATCCGGCAGCTTCGCCGCCAACTTTCGCCGGGGATGTGACGTCATGGTCAAGACTTGAGGAGCTCGACCTGTTGACGTTTACGGACTTCCAATGGATACCCCTTCCCCCGTCCGGTCGATTGTCGAAACTGCATTGCAACGTGCTCATGGCACAATTGCGAGATTACTTGCACACTGCAGTGCCAGCTCCATTGATGGACGCCAGAGTAGAGGTTGTCAGCCTTCGCGACTCCCTTGTTAAGATTGACCGCGAGTTTGAGACACAACGGTACGCCGACATCGACGCGCCATTGTTGTACATACGCATTCAGATCGGAGAGGCGACCTGCAACGCTTTGATCGATTGCGGCGCTACTCGCAACAATATGAGCCAACACTTCATGGTACGCGTTGGCCTTGGGCCACGCGTTCGGACGAAGTCGCAGCCCACTCAAGTCATGTTGGCCGACAGTCACACGCACAAGTCCATCGACCGGTGCATTGATTCCGTCCCCGTCTACTTCCCCCGCATGCAAACGAGGCCGTGTCCTTCGACATTCTGGACACCAACAGATTTGCAAGCATCTACACCGCTGATCTACGCTGACTACGAGCGACAAAGACTAGCTAGGGAAGCTTCCCAAACCTGCCCCTCCCAACCGGACTTTGGTCCCTCCCTCCGACAGGCAGCTTCGCCCTCGCAGGTAAGCTCAGTCTTTCAAGGAGGGGGGGGTGTGGCATACTGGGTATCCACACGGGCCTGCAGGGCCCAACCAGATGGAAAATCAGGGCCCTACAGGCCCTGTGTCGTTTCAGCCTGAAAGCCTGAAAACAAGGGCCTACAGGCCCTGTGTCATTTCAGCCTGAAAGCCTGAAAACAAGGGCCTACAGGCCCTGTGTCGTTTTCAGCATGAAAGCCCGAAAACAAGGGCCTACAGGCCATGTGTCGTTTCAGCCTGAAAGCCTGAAAACAAAGGCCTACAGGCCCTGTGTCATTTCAGCCTTAAAAAAAGGGCCCTCCAGGCTCTTAGTCTTTTCAGCCTGAAACGGAGGGCCATTTTCAGGCCCTCATAAGATCGACCTGCCCCGAAACTTAGGCACCAGACCAGCGTTTTAGCACATGCCATTTTAGGCCTGTTTTCAAGACAACCTTTGTTTGAACTTCAACGCCTGGGTCTGGCACGTTTTGGCATTGGCAAGAGCAGCCTCCTGGACGGGCCAGCACTATATAAGACTGGCCCGCCCTGCAGGCTGCAGGCAGTTCACGGGCATTTCACGTGCACTTCAGGAGGCAGGAGGCAGTCTTCAGGATTCCGCAGCAGCACTCCTGCAGGAGTGCTGGAGTAGTAGTAGCTAGCAGTAGTCTTCAGCGCTGGGCGCTGTTAGGAGCTTAGAGTAGCATTGGAGAGAGAGAGAGTTGGCGGAGGCCAGGGAGACTTACCAGTGGCGCCATAGCTCCAGCTTCATCTTCGATGTACCTGCAACAAGGCGCCACCTTCACAGGTCAGTACTTGGCACAAGAGAGAGAGAGAGAGAGAGAGAGAGAGAGAGAGAGAGAGAGAGAGAGAGAGAGAGAGAGAGAGAGAGAGTTCTTCTTCTTCCTCCTCTAAGTCCACCATCTCTCCCTCACCCTCTTGCTATCTGACTTCTCAGTATCTACAGACTACGAGAGAGAGAGAGATTTGTGACTGGGGACTTGATGACATTTGGATTCAAACACGACATTGGGATTGAGACATTGGACGAGGGATTATTTGGGACCTGTAACGAAGACTTGGTGTTGATGACATTCCCATCTTCCCCTCTTCTTCGTTTAATCCCCCTCCTCTTCGTCTGTGTATGTGTGGGACTGGTGCCTTCTTCCTGTGTGAACGCCAGGTCCCTTCACACCATGCGATGATGATGATGTATGTTTGGTCTGGATTGCGACATTGATTGGTCGGATCATCGGTATATTAGCCTTTCGCTGCGCTATCTTGTACTATATGACAGAGGTCGGTTCTTGATCTGTTCTGTACCATTACGGCATGTGACAGACGAACACCCACTTTGCGCCCCCCCCCCTCCTCCTCTCGCCGGCATCGCGGCAAACTCATAGGATGTGCCGTTTTTCAATCCTCGGCCCTCAAAGGAACTGGTGGTGGTCTGAACCTGGGTCTGCTATTCAGCAGTTCATGGGTGTACCAATGAGCTAGGCTCTAGGCTACCAGCCGGACCGCCGGGGTTACCTTGTTTGCCTGGGCGGTCCGCCCGCGCAAAGTAGGTCCCAGCAAAAAAAAAAAAACATTAAAAAATATATATATCGAGAAAATCTGAAAAACAAAAACTATGTTATGCAGAAAAATAAAGTGAACAACTTTTGCCTCAGGATCACATCGAAATTCTTTACCAAAAAAAAATAAAAAATATTGTTTTTTATTTTTATTGGCCCAGCCGGGCAAGTGGTCCCGGGCCACTCTGGTAGCCTACGATAGGCTTCAATCAAATGTTACATGGGGTCGGTCAACTCGATGATGATATCTCAGGGCCGTCGCCCCGTTAAAAAGGAGGGGGAGAATTGGAAAAGCCAAAAAAAAAAGGAACTGGTGGTGGTCCATCCTCAAGTACCCGTCATTGGACGGAAAGGAAGATGCCAACAGGGTTTCTTAAACTTTCTTTCTTCTTTCTTTCTTCTCTCTTTTTTTTTTTGCTTTTTTTTTTAAGTTGCCTTCTCCTCATCGTGGGACAGCCATATATTTTTCTCTCATCTCAAATATTTTTTAACTGGCGTTCTGCCGTGTCGTGGAACATATCTTTATTTCATTGCCTACCTACCACTACTCCCAACGGTATACAGGGGAACCCTGCAAGCATAGCTTTCTACCTCTCTCGGTGGAGAGAGGTAACGGCATGTTTGCCCCTTTGCGGGTTGGTGGGGGCCTGGCTAACACAAGGACCGAGCGTTTGCCAGTAACTGTGCCTCCCTTTTCATCTTCCCCCACCCCCATCGAGTAAAACAGGTCTTTATTTTTCTTTTTTCTTTTTTTTTGGAAAACAGGTCCTTATGGCCCTTGCCAACAGGGTTTGTGTTGCTTTCTCCAATGATTGTTGTAGCGTCATCAGCCTGCCATGGAGGACTGATAAGGAACTTACAGAAAGCGTTATTCTTTTCCATTGAACGTTTTTCTTCGTTTGTTGGGCCCTTCGATGGAGACACAATGCCTCGTCCAAAAAAACAAGAATTTTTATTTTTTGAAAGGCACAGTACAGTGCCATAAGCCGCACTCACCCTCCACGACAGGTCTTGGGACATATCTGCAAGGACCAGACTTTTGTACCGCTCGGGAGTTTTGTACATGGCCAACGCACGCTTGAGTCCCTCCACAATCTTCATCACGTCACCGGGCTTCACGTCACGCTAAACAAAACCAAAAACGATGCGGCAGTTAGTCACCAGTGTGAGGATTGGAAAATAATTGGATTAAGCACATGAATCCGGATGCGCTTTACGTACAGATGCAGAAAAGCAGATCAATCGCCATATTCTGCACCTCTCCACAAACATAACCATATTCAGCCGTTAAATCCAATCCTCTTTTCAATTGTCTGCTCAAACAAACAATCAGCTACATTGTTTTCGGGACACTGGACCCAATTTCCAGCAGGTGTTGCTCCCCAATAGATGGAGCTTCCCTAGGAGTGATAGTGACCACTAGCATGACCTCCGGTGTTTGAGTAAAAAAAAAAAATAAAAAAAAAAAATAAAAAATGCAATCCTCTTTGATAGTGGGACGGCGCCCTTGGTGCAACGAATGTGCCCAAAAATAAAAAAGGAGACTAAAGTTATTAAAAATATATATATTATATATATTTTTAAGTTTTGAAAAAAGCCACAAAAGGTTAAAAAATAAAAAAATAACAAAAATCCTTTCTCAATTTGACAAATTCTCAGCCTGTTTTTTTTTTTTTTAAAAGATCAAGAGTAGTATCTGTTCTCATCGACCACCATCCAAAAAAAAAAAGAAAAAAAAAAAAGATGGATAAGGTAGAATCGCCCTTCAAATTCAAAGTCTGCATCGGATGCTCCATCACAAAAGGTATTTACTAATTAGAAATTAGTAAACTTTAAATTTACTAATTATCTCCCCCCCCTCCCTCTAGTGGGTAGAACAAGGAGTGAATCCTAAATACTCAATTTGCAATTTCGCATGAATGAGGGCCTCTCTTTCTGAGATTGACCACGATAGATGCATCCATACCACTGGCCCCGTTGACAGTTCCCTGAGCTCTTCTCCTCCTCCCCCCTTATCAATGGTGGAATGATCTCAACATCCTGGAAGGGGGTCCTTTGGAAGGGGGTCCTCTGGGATAGGCTGACTCTTTCACTCGTATGCTCCCCTTTTCTATCTTGGATGCACAAATATGCTTGCCGGTGATAAGCAACCGCACTGTTGCCCCCCACAATGAAGGGGCCTGTGAATTTTGGGAAAAAAAGAAAAAAAGAAAAAAAGAAAAAAGAAAAGAAACTCCTAGATAGAAAATGTAGACAAACTGTTACATCTTCGACACACGGGCCCTACCGGACCCGACTTAGGGTCGGAGGGACACATCAGGGCCTAAAGGCCCGACCTTGGGATAGTACAGGCCCTCAGGGCCTGATCTTGGACCAGTACCCAACGGGCAGGCCCAAACGGCATTATCGTTTGGGCCTGGCGGCTCTCTTGAGGCTGCCGCCCGCCGGTTGGGGCTGAACCGTCCATCTGGACGGTTCAGGGCATGGCCAGGCCTCGCAGCATTGAGGCCGGCCTCTGCCCCACCGGTAAAAAGTACCGGTACAGCCTCACTTGGAGGCATCGACCTACCGGCACTATACCGGTACGGTATGGTCAGCGCCAGAGCGCTGTTTTGATGCGCTAAGCTTAGCGCAGGAGCGAGCAAGGAGCAGCAGCGGCAGCGCAGCATTAGCGCAGCAGCAAGCAGAGCAGCAGCAGGGCGACTGAGCCAGCACGGCGGCCATTGCCGCCTGAGGTACCTGGGAGCCGGAGGACCTCTCCTCCCTCCCTCGTCAGCTCTCTCTCTCTCTCTCCTCCTCCTCCTCCTCCTTCTTCTTCTTCTTCTTCTTCTTCTTCTTCTTCTTCTTCTTCTTCTTCTTCTTCTTCTTCTTATTCATCTTCTTCTTCTTCTTCTTCTTCTTCTTCAGACTAGAGACTTATGCTAGTTGGACAGAGATCAGAGTTGGAYTTCGGTGATAKGAGACTGTGGTACTTACCAGATTGGAGACTTGGAGATCGTTGGGGTTGATACTTGGCGACATCACAGTTCAGACACCGGTTACATTTGGACTCTGTATCCCCGACATTGGTGACCTACGGTCCTCGACATTTTGATCTTGTTGGACGACATTTTGGACTACCATATCGGTGACCTATCAGATTCTACCTCGGTGACTTTCGGTGCTGTCTACCTCCCCCCACCTCTTCGTCTCTCCTTCCCCATTCATCTGTGTATGTGTGTACCGGGCTGAGCATCTTCTATGTATGGCTCAGACCCCACCATCTCACGATTGAATGTGTGTGGAGTGATGCTATGTGAGTCAGTCTATGTGAGTCAGTCCGTTTATCAGACTTCCGTTGCATCTATACTCATCCTACATTGGTTGATTCTTGGTTCTG